CAGTTGGTCACTGTCCTCCCGTTATTCATCGATTTTCTCAAGTGGGCCCAGTAACTTCTCCATCGTGAGACTTTGTTGTTACTGTGTTTGGCATATTGAATACATCACGGGGAGTTGCCAGGCTTTGCCGTGCAGGCGAGATATTCTCGGTAGCTTGCCGGGCTCTCTGAGAGGGACGGAGGAATCGAACTCCAGTCGGCCATGTTGGCTGCATGCAAGGCAAATGCCTTACCCGCTGTGCTACTGCTAATCAACTAGTATTTAAAATTTAACATAAAATTATTTTATTAATTTTCTCTAGCTAATCAACCACAGAAAATAAATATTGGTTTTCCATAAGAAAAGTCTTCTAGGGGTCAAGAATGCAGCTCCAGTGGTAGAACAGATGTCTTGCATATGTGAGATCTAGGATTCAGTCCCTGGAACTGCAAAAAATAAGTAAATAAAGGGAAAAGAAAAATTGTTTAATCTGTCTCATCGCTTCCATAGTAGCATCTCAGACACAGTAAACTGATAAACAGACAGTGAACAGAAAAGAAATAGGGAGAAAAAGGGAGAAAAGAGGACAGGTAAACCCCAAATTTGAGTAGCGACCTAATTTTCCTGAAACAACTCTATTATGAACATTTTTGTGAATCATGATGTGTTAATAAAAATTAAAAATTATAAGAAAATAAGGTTAACTTAGAAAGACTCCTGCATTATATTTCTGAAGTTAGGCCTCAATCTTATCAATTGCAAGTATTCTAAGAATTAGTGTTTTATCAATTTACACATGTAAAATTTTAAAGTAAGATTTCACTAAAAAAGCAGAATAGAAATTCACTGTCTAGCACCTAAGTTCTAAACTGGACTTACTTAGATAATCAGCCCATTCATCTAAAAAATAAATGTGTTGGATTTAATTATTAGTAAGATTCCCATTGACTCTAAAGTATTGCATCACTTCCTATGGGGTAAGAGCTCCTCTTTCATTTGAAGGGCCTAAATAATATATATATATATATATATATATATATATATACTTTTTTTTTAAAGATATCACTATTTTACTTACCACAAGTGCCACTTCTCAGCATCATCTCTAGGCCCATCCTGGAAAGACCATCATTCCAAAATGTCTTAAAACTGACCCCTCTTGTAGGGGAAATGAAGTGAAATATATACACATAGGGCTGTTGCTGTCATGCAACCTTCAATAAAGAAACCTGCAAATGTCTTCATCACCAAACAGCCTGATTGACTTCTGACTTGATTTAGCGTTATTGAAAGTACTTACAACACTGCCAATAACATCACACCATAATAGGATGCACATCACAGATAAAGCAACACAAAGAACCTAGGAAATGCATACTTAAAATGTAAATAGCCTAAACAGCAGGACAACTGAAGGATCTCTGAGGATAAAGAGGCACAGAATTCTTCAACAGTTGCTACCCTGGTTGTGCCTTTAAAACTCACAATTTCTCAATACACCAAGTGTAGTGCTTATTTTCCTCATTTAAAAGTGAGACTAATATCACTGGAATTTTTTTTAGGGCATAGAAAGAAAGCATTCCTTCTAAAGTTTGGAATTAAAGTGAAAAGCAGTCTTTTAGAATAAGCAGGTACCACTTGAATCTGAAGCTTGTACTGTCCTTTTCAATCGTTGCAGAGAAACAATTAATAAAGGAACCCATTAAGACCTGATTATTGCTGCTAAAAAAAGGAAGGTAGAATTTCAGTCCTTTGAAGTAACTGAGAATGATTCAGGCCTCATTACAGAGATATAATCTACATTCATACATTTATGTTAGTGATTCAAATCTATTGGGAGAGATTGAATTCCGTTAAATAGTGCATCTTTCCTGTGCAACTTTTCTCAGGCATTCTCAGGCTAACCTAAGAGGTGACCTAACAATGCAAAGCGGTGGAGTATTTAGGGATTCAACTGTGCTATAAAAGAAAGGCTGTGCAGAAAAGAAAAAAGAAGAGTGAGATATAATCTAAAAAGCTATGTCAGCTTTTCCTTTGGGTGGTTTTGTAAATGCCCTTCCTGTCATCACACTGTACAGAAGAGTGGCAGAAGGTTCTAGAACTTTTAAACACTGCACCTGCTGCAACGAGACTTGAATATGGACATTTTGAAGACGTGTCTTCTCCTTTTCAGACAGAATTAAAAAAAAAAAAAGAAACTAAGATTGAATCACTTCCACTGGAAGTGACTGGTAGAGATGTGAGAGCGAGAGCGAGAGCGAGAGCGAGAGAGAGAGAGAGAGAGAGAGAGAGAGAGAGAGAGAGCACCCAATAGGACCCTAGGGGGTGTCTATTGAATACTGCAAAAATAAAAGAATCTCAAGTTGGCATCACTAATGTTGGTGCCCAGTGTAGAAAAACCTCAAAATAATAACTTCCCATGTTTTGTAACTTTTCACAGTAGAATCCTTATTGTATGGTTTCATCAAAGATAACTTTGAAAAATATGTAGTTTTAATTAGTTGCCAATTCAACATTCAGATTCTGCTGAACAATTGGGCTGAAATTCAAGTCTTAGAAACACTACACTTTAGCATTTGTCAGATCAGGTATAAACTGTGAACCAGAAAATTGAAATTTTTATACATGATTTCATTTTTATACAACTACACTTTTTTGAAAGAGCAAGTCTTGTTTGACGTATGTGCTTTATTTGCTTAACTCACTAATTAACAGCTACAGAAATCAGAGCTAATTGTATTAAATTAAAAAAATCTACTGTGGTATTCACCACATTGTCGAAATCTACTGAATGAGCGCTGCAATGAGTAATAATGCAATTAAAACTTTGATTCTAGTATTAAATGCTCCTATTTCAAAAGTTCTGAATACACAGGAAATACAAGCACATGAATGTAAAGTCATTTTTCAAATCACTAAACAACATAGTTAGACAAGCATTCCAAATATCCATCTTTAACGCTAGAATTCAAATTTCTTTGTATTTTCTCCTATGTACAATGAAAATTGAGGCCAAACTGCACACAAGGACGTTTCTGGATTGTTGTCCATACACAATTACTTCCAAATTGCAGTTGCATTGCTTAAGAACCCATGTACACCTTGAAGAGAGTTAGAGTAACAGTCTAAGTATTAATGTAAAGCCATACGAAAGTGCCACTATTAAAGGTGGAAAACCTTCAAAATACAGGCAACTTCATATGGTTCAGCATAGCTAAAATGCGCGACTGCTTCATAATCTAAATTTTGGTATGTCAGACTCCTCTTTCAGACAATCTTTATTTCCCTAGCTTGGAGCAGTTCTTAAAAAACACGATCCTCTAGGAACTGTCTCTCTTACTTAAATCGGAATGCACTGTTACATCATTATTTCTTTGTGTCTCTTTTTAATGGCAAAGGTTTCCCTAGTTTGTCTCTACCTGGGTTGTGAGCAAGTTTCTGTTACAGGAGTGAGGGGGATACTAGTAGATGAGAGTAAGGGAAAAGGAGGGTGGTGCTGCAGTTACATTGCAAAACAGAGTCCTTTAAGTTGAAGGGCTTAAAGGATTCCGTTGAAGAAAGGGGGGAAAAAAAGAAAACGCCCTTTCGTGATAAACGTGCAAAGGAAGTTGCCCAGAAAAGATAATGGATAGCAGAACATTGGGCCAAAAATATGGTTAAATTCGTAATCTGCGCACGGTGCGTCCGCTCTGGAAGTGCGCGCGTGGTTCGGTAAAAGAGTATGTTAGCAATTAGAAATCAGTCGTTTCGGTCCCCGATTTCACTTGCGCCAAGAGAGAGGCTACATTTTAGGGTGACAATAAATCTCCAAGAGCTTAAAAGGCAGAGAGGGCCAAAGTGTGAACTTTTTCCTTCAACAACGGAAGCGAGAAATCAGTGATTCATTAAAGCGGAGACCTCCTTGGAAGCTGGCAGAAGCCGAGGAAAAGCAGTTAATTACGTCTCCCTTTTCCGTGCTCGCTCCGTCCAACCAAGTTTGCAATCTGCTGCCTCCAAGGGTTTATCCTCAGCATCTTCTACTCCCCCCCAACCCCCCGCCCCGCCCTTTTGGGAGCGGGGGGGGGGGGCGGTGCGGGGAGTCAGCCCAGCAACTGGCTCCAGGTGGCTTGCAAGCACATCCCTGCCAAAAAAACAGGAGGGGGGAGCAAACCCAAAAATCCTGGTTGGAAAACAAGTGAGAAGGGGACTTCCCGGAGGGGATTGGTTGGGACTAGAGGACAGCGCGAGCCGGGACGCGGGAGGCGACGGTCGCGCGGGTGGCAGGCGCTGCAAGCGCAGGGACGCTCGGGTTTGCGGCGGGGAGGACGGGAGCCGCGGCCCCCGGGCCGGGCGCTGGGGTTCGGCGCTCCCTGGCGCGCTCCCCGGCGCTCCCCGGCGCTCCCCGCTGCGGCCCCTCCCCCGCCCGCGCCCTCTCCCCGGCGTTCCCAGCAGCCGCGGGTTTCAGATGTCCCACCGCCGTTTGACCCCCTCCCCCCGCCTCTCCACCCCTGCGAAGGAGGGTTGACCAGCAGAGGCAGAGCCCACCTCTGGCTTCGAAATCCCTGACATTTCCACTCCAGGCTGCAACCTGTTTACCAGCGGGATCTCCAAAGGGGAAAGGGGAGGGGGAGCCGAGGGAACCAGGGCCAAACAAAACACCCACCGCCACCCCCACCCCTCGCCCCCCCGCCCCACCACCACCCCAAACCAGAAGTGACTTTCTGGAGAGACTTCACATCCACCGGCACCGCCAAAAAGAGAAAGCCAGCGGGGAAGGCAACAGCGGCGACCCGGCAGCTGCCTCCGGCCCTGACAACCGCGAGGGACGCGCGCTCGGGACCGGCTCGCCGGCTGCGCGGCTCTGCACGGAAGGGGACCCGGAGGTGCCGAGCGCGGAGGGCGCAGCGCCGCTCCCCGGCCTCGCGCCCAGCCCCTCTGGGCTTGCTCACCGGGCTGTCATCTGCTGCACTCAGACCTCTGATTATTTTTGGCTTTTTATTGTTGTTGTTGTTCTGCTGCATCTAACATGGTGAAGAAAGGAGTCAAGAAGAGAACAAAGTAAACTCCTGGCAGGGGGGAGTGGACGTCGCTGGGGGGACCGCCGCCGCCACCACCGCCACTTCCAACCGCCGGCTCCTGCTGCTGCGGCCACCCACGTCCAGTGTCCCCCGCCCCCGGTCCGGAGACTGGCCGAGCGGAGCGCGGAGCCGGGAGAGGCCGCCGGCGCGTCCGAGGAGTTATGGATGTTGGTGCATTCACTGGGGGCCAGATTCGCGCGCACACGGAGCTAAGCAGCGGCCGCCACCTCCAGCTGTCGTCTTCTTGCCGCCTCGCCCCAGCTCTTACCCTTCCAGTATGTTCCTTCTGATGAGACAATTTCCAGTGCCGAGAGTTTCAGTACAATGTGGAAATGGATACTGACACATTGTGCCTCAGCCTTTCCCCACCTGCCCGGCTGCTGCTGTTGCTTCCTGCTGCTCTTCCTGGTGTCTTCGGTCCCTGTCACCTGCCAGCCCCTTGGTCGGGACATGGTGTCACTAGAGGCCACCAACTCTTCCTCCTCCTCCTCCTCCTCCGCTGCCTCCTCCTCCTCCTCCTCCTCCTCTTCCTCCTCCTCCTCCTCCTCGGCATCCTCCTCCTTCTCCTCTCCTTCCAGCGCGGGGAGGCATGTGCGGAGCTACAACCACCTCCAAGGAGATGTGCGCTGGAGAAAACTCTTCTCCTTCACCAAGTACTTTCTCAAGATTGAGAAGAACGGGAGGGTCGGCGGGACCAAGAAGGAAAACTGCCCGTACAGTAAGTAACTGATGCGCGCTCCCCTCCTTCCAATTATCCAGCCCCCACCCCACACGGGGGGGAAATCTCTTCCAGATGTGGCCAGCTAAATATTTACGTCCCCAACCCCTGTAAAATTATTAAGTGGGAGACTTTCACACTAGATACTCCCCCCACCTCGGTTCCTCTCGGCGTATGCTCTGTGGCTGCGGCACCCCCTCCCCTCGGTGCCTCCACGCCCCCTCCCTCTTTTTGCCCCCCATACACACACCCTACCCTTGCCACCCTGGTCCGCTCCTTCTTGCCAGCTTGTCACCCGCCAGACCGCGCAGGGCGCCCGCGAGTTGCTGCAGAGAGCATCGGTGCCCCCGTCTGTCTGCGTCGCTCTTCCCCACCTCCAAGGTCTCCCTCCCCTCCCTCCTGGACGTGACTCAAGTAAACACATTCTGTTTCTTTGCGCTGGCGGTCTTATTAAGAGTTTGGGGACCGGCTCCTCAAGCTGAAAATAATTATCCGCTGTCAATTAGAGGGTTTTTATGGGAACTTTATTTAAGGGGAGGGGGACTCCATTGCAGACGTTTCTCCTCCCACCCCCCAGCCTCCTCACCCGCGCTATCCCTTTACTCCACCACCTCTCGAAGATAGGAGCGAGCACCTCTTTTTCTGGCTTTGATTGGGGGGGGGGTAGGGTGGAGGGGTTCCCTGATGTGCTTTGAGAGATTGCAGTCTATGAAGTTCGCTTTTGCAGGCACCCACCGCAACTGTTTGTCTTCTGCCTGCCTTCTCAGTTGGTAACATGATGCTCAAGTCTGCGTTGTCAATAGCATCTGCGCTGCTTTGTGGTGTCCTGTTGTACTCGTTTCTTCTGAAACCTCTCATATTGCAGAGCTATACTACTACAGCATTGTAAACATCTGGGACTGCATTCGTACAGACCTCACACACATTTCATTGTCATTCTTTTATTTTCAAAGTAAAAGTCGTAAGTCTGTTTCCAGGACCAGGGGCCGATCACAACGGATGAGGTTTTCGCCTCAATGCAAATTATAGCCCGGATCCCTCGGTTCCCCCCTTTTTCCTTCCTCTGTTTCGTTCTGACTTTAGCTCTTCCCTTTCACCCCTCCCGACCACCCCCCAACCCCCTGCTCTGACATGTGGGCTGGGTAGGGGGAGGGAGAACCCCACGGAGAAGGGGTGGGATATTGAGTCTCTTGAATCTGTCCAGCAAAGCCAGATTACTCTGTTGGCTTCCTTTCCTAGTTACTTTCAAGTGGGGAGATGTATTCATCCTCTATTGACCGCTGTTTGAAAGGATCCGGAGGCTATGTAATGGCACATTGAAGACAGTAGACAATGACGTTTTAACATTAAAAAATGACCATTTAGCTTGATCTCGTTGGTATTTACAAGTCACCTTTTAAGGGAACTTTTTGTATCAGTTGCTTGGGAATTCCAGGCATATACTGCCCACTAACTTAAATCCCTGGCTCAGAAAATACTTGGTACTAATGGGAATGGCAGTTAACCAGAACTTAAAATCTTTTCTTTTTCAACAGATTAACAAAAATTAAACTTGTTTTCCCCTTAGGGGGCTCATGCACTTAACATTGACTTCTCATCTACCTCTGATGCTTCTTTCATTCACTAAAATTAGCAGTATGTTGCAAGTAATAACATATTTTAAAGTGGCTTATTTATCTTTAATTCTAGAAGTAGTAAGTAGCCCATTACTCTTATTTTTTTTATCCTGAAGAATAGAACGTGGTGGAAGTGATGCCTTATATGATAATGACCACTCCCCCACCACGCAACAGTCATTTGTCACCCGCATTTATTAGCCCCTGTATAAATGTTGCAGATAGTATGGTATGGATTAAGAAATTAATTTATTAGATATTGTATATTTAGAATAAAACAGTTGTGATGTGTCTAGACAGGATGATGAGGAAGTAGTAATACACTTATTGAAGAGTGAGCTAAAAGTTTAAAAGCAAGTTCCTGGAGACCAAAATTCTGGTTTTTTTTTTTTTTTGCAGATAATCAAATAGAATTTTTTAGAGTGTTATTCTTAAACAGACTTTTTTTTTTTACAGTCAATTCTATTATCACTATATTTCAAGTGTCTTTATGATGTGATGCAAGGGCTAATCTGTACTAATTTATTTGTACTATTGAAATGACTGTGATTAACTAGTAAAACAATTTTAAGGATACATTAAGTCACAGTTTCTCAGTTTGAGTTTTTGGCAATGAGAAAAGTATATAATTTTTATTGCAGAAATAAGTGTGAAAGTTTTCCAACCTAACTGTCCAAAATATACTAATATCACTACTATTTGATAAAGCATACTAATAGTGTTTGATAAAATTGTGGTATCTTTATAGCAATGCAATCTTAATCACTGGTTGAAAATGAAGTGGGTGGGTCTTCTCCGTTAAAAAATGTCAAACCATAAATAATTTGGGCTTTCCAAGAACATCTGTATCAAAACATAGCAAGTGAAAAGTAGAGGTTGAAAAAGCCTTAATTTCACATGTGGCAGGGTAATCAGAACACTGCTACAGTTTCCAGCTGTACTGATTCAGTTGAACTCCATGGTATCATTAAGATATTGTCTAAATGTTGCATAATTACATGTGAACAAACTTTTGCCATGCCTACAGGGTAACCAGCCAGCCAGCCCACCAAATGGTAGCCTGTTAAATGTTAGGGTACCTAACCTCTGAAGAGTGTCAGTTCCTTGTCCAAAAACCACATTTCAGTAACATTTTCCTAAACAAGTTATTAATTATTTTTAATACACAAAGCTGTTCTTTTGAGGTTTGCTTATTTGAAGCTTAATTTTCTTTTTACTTTTGACCCTAGGATTGCTGTTAAAATACAGTAAAGCTTATCTAAGAGGTTACATGTTTGTGATTTCCTAGGTAAACAACTGTTTTATTGGCTTTTTGCCAACAAAATGCTAACAAAAAGGAAATAATAAAATCACTCATAAGCATTGCAAAAAATCATTTTAACTTTTTAGCTCCAATGCTGGTTTCCAGAAATTGAATGATTCTAAAAAAGTTATATGTGCTAAAGAAACTTTTTCCAATATGCATGATGCTCTAATTTCCTTTTTAGGGCCAGTGATTTTTTTTTTCCCTTGCTTGCTTCTCTTGCCATTTTATGTGTGCAGAGCAGAGCTAGTAGAGATGAATTATGTTCTTCTGTTAGAAGTCTGAAAAGCTTGAATAATTTAGAATAGCTGTGGTGTATCTGTCACTAGATATGCACAGCCTCGTTTAGGTTTTGTTTTATCATTCTTTACATCTAGAGCTTTGCCCTTGAAACATAACCACTCGGTTTTGGCCTCCTGGAAAGGCTGGATACAGCTGTTAGATGCTCTTGTGACTGGGACTGGTGGACTTATTTCTGGACATAAGTGAAACAGCTGTGGACTTCTACCAAGGTTGTCACTCGAAGAAAAGGGGAGTCGAATGAAAAGACAATATATCTCTAAACTTGAGATAGCCAAGGATGGATATTCTTAAATGAAAGACAGTGTTTTTAAGTCTTACTAAAAGTCAGCATGCATTGAGTATGTAGTATGGATTCTATTTCTAAACTCATGATTGTCCTATGACTTATATATTGCTGTCGACATTTTTCATAGTAAAACCTGAGTCTGTAAAGAGAGAGACTGCCGAAGGTCATTTGACTAGAATTTGCTAAGTCAGGATTCAACCCCAGTTTATTTGGTTTATCACTCAGTTTTTATTTTGTCTACCTCTCTGCTACTGGTAATGTTAATACCAGTATATTAGAATGAGATACTCCAAACATCTGAAAAACAAATATCAAATCTTAATTATGAACACTAAACAGTTCTTCAGTGTGAAATTTGGCTGGTAGTAAAATAAAAGGGGAACAGATATGAAACCTGTTAAAGGTATTGCAGGTGGTAACATAATGTTACATAATGTTGGTGCATCTTCTAAGTAACATATCCTTTTTTTGATGCTATGTTTGGGAATATAATTACTTGTGGGCATATACAAAACACACATACATCAATCTTACTTATTTTAACAGAGGGCATTAGAAACACATAGCTATTTAGATTAATTCATGAATGTTATTGTATATAGTAATTGTTTACAGCTGAGGGCCAAATGTTTAATTGTTCCCATGTGTAATAAAATAATCTGATTGAAATTGGGCTGGTTTAGAGACTTCTGATATATGACTCTAAAATATTCAAAATTTAGAGACATGAAGTTTTGATATGTGTATATGTATGTACGTATATATGTGTGTATATCTACATATGTGCATACACATATACATATACATACACACGAATATAGAGCTTAAAAAGGAGCCTGAAAATGAAAAGATACCTCATCACATAAAAAAAGACATTGTCTAGTATTAAAAGTTTGAATTATTACTTTTTAATCAGAACTAGATCTTGTTGTAGGGACATAAATAAGGTGAGAATACAATTGGTAAGAAAAATAACGTAAATATTATCTCTTGATAACTATGCAAATTTTTTTCTGGTAAGAAATTTTATATGCAATTTATGACTTCCACTGGTGTCTTATTTAAATTGTGGTTGTTTCTGGAGTTTGGCTGCATAATTTATAACCAGCAGCATTTAATCATGTGCATGGAGGATTTATGAAGGTGGAAGGCACTGTATTTAATGTTTACATGACACTGTCCTGTTACCATTACTGCATTCCTACCATATGGACCCTCCACTTTGATGGTTTTATCATAAATCCATTAAAAATACACAATTACAGAGTTTCCTTTTCATAAACCTGATTTACAACCATGTAGTAGAAGAAACCTAAGAAAACTGTTAGCAGAAATCACATGCCAATACAGAAATGTGAAAATTTAGAAACATCAATTTCTAGGTCTTGGGCATTTTAGGAATATTTAACTCATGGACTGTTCTTTAAAAATAGATATTTTCAAAATGATTTTAAACACAGGATTTGAAGCAAGAACATGTTTTCTAGATTGC